CCTTATAATTCTCAACGTTACCATTATGATTTAACCAAATATGACTTGGCAATTTCTCCATCAGCCCCTTTAGGGTAGAATCCACCGGGAACACTTTCATTTCCACTTCCATACACAATCCTTAGAATCTCCTCCGGTGTTCTATCAAACGAAAGAGAAAACTCATTACCAACCAATACATTCCCGGCAATTTGTCCTTCTGCACCCATGGCTTTAGGCACGACCAATCCCTCGTCTTTCACTCCCATTTTTCCCAATTTGTTCCTTAGATCAGAGATCATATCCGTGAAAGCCGCGACCGGGATACCATAAGGATGGACTATGTGAGTAGCCCTCGCATATAACATTGTTCTTATCACTGCATCTTGACCTGATTCTACTCCCAAAAGTCCTGCTACTAACTGAGAAAACGTTTTGTGTTAAATTACTACTTATTTAATATAATATTTTGAATAGATCAAACATTTTCTTCAAGTAGATGAACTTTTATACATCAGTCGGAAAGAGAATTATGTGTATATAATGCCAAATCTTATGAAATTTGATCAGGAAATCAATGAAAATTTCATCTAAAAGAATGCCTGATGTGATGAAAAGTAATTCATGATTTTTACATAAGACTAACCTTAATGTGTGGCTGTAAGATGAGATTAGAGATATGTATACCAATCGAAGTATAAATTAGTATATTTGAGATTTTTTTACCTTCCTTGAGTCGGGACATTGAAGTTTAGGGTTAGCTCCAACGTAACCGGTGAGACCAACATAAGGAACCAAATAAGAAGCAATGAGGTAATTGTAAGAATTGGCATAAGGATTAAATGGTGGAACAAGTTTTCTTCCAAATGCTTTATCCATTACTTTCGCAAATGATTTTACACTCAAATCAAGTTGTGGCCTTGCAAATCCTTTCACCGTTTTCTTGATTGCCCTATGATATATTACGATTACGTCAATGCGATATACATTTTAAAAACAAATAAATTTCAAATTAAAGAATCTCAAATCTACAAGAAACGAATCATAAATGTTGAAACAAAACAACAAGATATTTAGTTAAACAAAACAAAACGCAACAAACATATCATTCACTTTAATATTAATTTTATATGGATTTATGAACATATAAAATGTGCCACAATCTGTGATAAATTTCCTTAAAGTTTGAACGGTTATAATATATTTACAATCGTGATCTCTTAATAATAAAAAACTGTATTTTTCCTTTCTTGATCAATAAATTAAGATATCAACATAAAAATGACTTCTTTTAGCAACCATAATAAACAACTCGCCTAGTCTAATTATATGTAGCTAAGGAAAACAAATTGCGTATAGTTTCTTTTACAAATATTATTCGTAAATTATTATCACACAATCACAACTCTAAATTATAAAGACTAGTAGTTTTAAAACTCTATAATATGAATTAAAAGAAAATTTTACCTCAAGTGGCCAACTTCTTGCCAAGCAAATTGCAAAATAATATCTCTTGTTAAAGGATCAAGATTAGCTTTTTGAGCTCCAAGAGGACTTGGTCCACCCATTGTTAAATTTGGTGCAACTTTATCAAGACCAAACCCTAATGCTCCAAACAAGAAAAACTCAGCTTCAAGGTACTCAAGATTCAATGGAAACTCCAATAGTTTCCTGTCTTGATCCGTACAATTTGTTGTCGACGTTGTATCGGGACAACTCAAAACATGAAGATGGTGAATGTTGAAGAAGAACATAAACACCATCAATGTTGAAACCAACATGCTTCTTCTCTCTTTGTGAATTTTCATTTCTGAAAATGTTTTCCTT